CATATTAATAAAAGAAAACATGTATAACTTTTTTCTAATTAATATATCTCTTAAATATCTTTGTGAGTTTTTCAAGTTCTCGAATAAAGCGGGTTGTCATGACGAAATCACGTCACTTCTAATTAAAAAAAACGTAATTAGTAAGATTTAGATTATTATTAAAAAAAATTGAAAATCAAAATAAAAAAAATTGGGAGGGAGAGCAGGCAGTGGAAAATATAAAGAAATAAGCTGGAAATAGTAAAAGCGGTTACAGGAAGCGGTCCGAGTTTCTGGTATCCGGTTTGGGGGAAGCGCATATTCGCAGCTCAGAGAGTGGAACCTACTCGCTGCGGAAGCCGACAACGTGTCGAATGAAAATTGGATGAGGGTATTGACGTCGAGCAAAAAGGCAAAAGCAAAGGGGAATGGTGAGGGAGGAGGGGCACGCGTGGAGCGGGGAGAGCGAGTATAGGAGCTGAGGCAGTCGCGGGGGAGGGAAATAATGTGGGGTTTGGTCCGTTTATTGCCAAAACGCGGGTGAAAAAGCTTGTCTGGTTGAGAGATGGTTGGTTTTTATTCCTCTTCTCGTTTGTGGAGAGGAGAACACACCGCTCTCTCTCTCTCTGTCCCTCTCATCATCTCTCTCTTAAAACTGCTTTCTCTCTCTCCATGTAAAAGTTTCTCTCTCTAGAAAGCTGTTATTCTTGTTAATTTGGCTCTCTGTTTTCTTTGTTTGGTCTGGGTTTGGTCTGGTTTAGATAGAGAGAGAGAGGAGAGAGAGGAGAGAGAGGAGAGATATAGTGTGTGTGTGTCTGATCATTGAGAGGGGGATTTGGGTAGAGTGCCGGGTAGTTGAGGGGGAGGGGGTGAGTGAATGAATGGGAATTCCGGTGGGGTTTGCTAGAGTGACGGCCAGGTGGTGGTGGTGGTGCTGCTGACGACGACTTAACTTACTGTCTCTCTCTCACCGGCGACGGAGCCATGGACTTCGATGCCGGAATACCCATGTCTCGTGCTGCCGCGCCCGTCACCGACGCTCGCTCACTGTCAGCCTCCTTGACCCAAGGTCATCTTTCTCTCTCTCTTACATAACACAACGCACATACATTTGTCTTTGTTTGTCAATAATTGTCGTTGTTTTCTCTGTTTCTGCTTCTCTTTTGCTTCGCCATTGTTTCCTTGTTTCCCCATTCACGTTCGCTGCCTCCGCCGATGCGAATTGTCCCTTTTGACCTCTCAATAGCTCAATTCAGATGTGATCAATGCTTCAAATCTTCTTCAGCATCGTCAATTTCGATTCCCAGCACTTGAATTCGCATGTTTTTCTGTTTTTTAATTTGATTTTTTTTCCGGTTCTCGAATGATTACAGAATGTTGCCTCTTGTTTTGTTTTGTTTTACCAAAGTTTTAGCCATTCCGTGACGATTTAAATACGGTAATTGTTATATTCAGAACCAATTTAAACAGAAAATGCAATGTCAATGTTGTGTGATCGGCTTCTAAGAACAACAAGACGAATAATTGAATTTAATTACCAGTTTAAGGCACAATTTATTTGCTTGACTTGTTAAGGTATACAAGTGGTAACAGAATGCAGACGAAATGGACTCGTCAAAAATATGCCTTTCACTTGAATTTTGATAAGTTTGCATGATACAATGTAACGAACATAGTTATGAAATGTTATTTCAGATGCAATGTGGCAAATGAATATGAGATCAAGTGAAACAATGGAAGCCGGGCCCTATCCCGAGCGTGCTGGAGAGCCAGATTGTTCTTATTACATCAGAACAGGACTTTGTAGATTTGGGGCGACATGTCGCTTTAATCATCCACCTAACCGGAAGCTGGTATAGTTTCACCATGTTTACGCGATTTTTTATGAGTTTAGTACAAGGGTAGTACGCTTCGTGTCTAATGTTTAATAATTTCATTCAATTTTGATTGAAATTATATGTCTGTATAATAAGATTGTGTTTATTTCCAGGCTATTGCCGCTGCAAGGATGAAGGGAGAGTTCCCCGAAAGAATTGGACAACCAGAGTGTCAGGCATGTATTTCTGTGGAAGGTCGGTCGTGTAAATTTTGGTCTGACTTCAATAATATTTGTTAAACTTCCCTGCAGTACTACCTGAAGACAGGAACCTGCAAGTTTGGAGCAACATGCAAGTTTCATCATCCTAGAGACAAGGCGGGAATTGCTGGAAGAGTTGCCTTAAATATCTTAGGCTATCCACTTCGACCGGTTCGATTTTCTGTTTTTATCTCATTATTGTGCCATTTTCACCTCATTTGTACATTTCCGTTCTCTTTGCTTTACTTGAATGTCTACTTCGTAGTTTATTTTTGTGGCATACGGACAGACAGGGGACTCGCCAATTGGGTTGGCGCGGTGAATTTTAGAAGTAGTGTGACACAAAATAATGATTTAAGAATCACACATATATGCTAGAGGAGAAACCATATCTGCTTTAGAGATTGTTTTGTGGATCTGTGTGTGCATCTTAGTTGGTACGATAAATTCCTTACTTTTTATTCTTTGTTTTTAGCAGAATGAGGTCGAATGTGCTTATTATTTACGAACCGGACAATGCAAGTTTGGAAGCACTTGTAAATTCCACCATCCCCAACCTACTAATATGATGGTTTCAGTGGGCGGCTCTACTGTATATCCTACTGTCCAATCTCCAACTACTCCTGGCCAGCAATCGTATGCAGGAGGAATTACAAATTGGTCAAGAGCATCTTTTATTCCCAGTCCACGCTGGCAAGCTCAATCAAGTTACGCTCCTCTCATTGTTCCTCAAGGAGTGGTATCAGTCCCAGGATGGAACGCATACAGTGTAAGTTTTATTGTACCTCTCTGTGCAAAATGCTGTGATGCTCTTGTTTTACCTTATGATAGCAGGTTAGGGTGCAACTAGTTATTGTTTGTCTCGGAATCAATCTAATCGGAGTTATATGCATGTGTGTTTAAAATTGTTGATCTTACTGCACAAATAATAGTTTGAAAATTTATTTCATGAGAAGAAAACAAGATGAAAATTGAATGGTTTGCAATTTCTTTTACTGCACTCCATCAGAAAAGCTCTAATACAGCAGCTTTTGAGTTTGAGTTCAATAGTATAATTGCGCTATGGTCCCCTGAGCGGAATCAACATGCTTATTTGTTGGTAATTTTTGCAGGGCCAACTTGGCTCCGTTTCATCTCCAGAGGGTCAGCAACAAACAGCGGGAAACAGTCAGATGTATGGAACTTCACAACAAGGTGAACCGGAAAATTCAGGATCTCAAGGGGGCTTTTCTCCTTACGGTTCTGGTTCCATCCCTGTAGGGTTCTATGCATTGCAAAGGGAAAATGTATTTCCTGAGAGACCTGGCCAGCCTGAGTGCCAGTTTTATATGAAGACTGGGGATTGTAAGTTTGGTGGAGTCTGTAGATTCCATCATCCTAGGGAGAGGTTAATTCCTGCTCCAGACTGTGTTTTGAGTCCAATGGGCCTTCCTTTACGACCGGTGAGTTACTTTTACTGTTGGAGTTTGTTTATAAACTTGAGCTATGGTTTCGAAACTAGTTGTGTGCTCTTACTACATGTTTCATTAAGTAGTCTAACTTGGTGATATTTTACACGATGAATCTGGTACACTTTTTAACAGGGAGAACCGTTGTGCATCTTCTATTCTCGTTATGGTATCTGTAAGTTTGGACCAAGTTGCAAGTTCAACCACCCTATGGGTATCTTCACTTATAATCTCTCTGCATCATCTTCGGCTGATGCCCCAGCCCGGCGTTTGATGGGTTCAACGTCGGGGGCCGCTTCATTAAATTTATCTTCAGAAGGGCTAGTCGAAGCAGGATCAGCAAAGCCCAGGAGACTTTCATTGTCAGAGCCTAGGCAGATGCCTAGTGCAGAGGATAACATTGACACAGAGGAGTGAAAGGCGGCTCGAAAGCGAGCCATTTACATTAACAATCTTTTGAGGGATGAACAAGAGTCTGGTATGATATCTGTAAATTGAAGTTGATTGTGTCCTGAAAATGCATTCAGCTGACAGATTCAACTTTCTGAATTTCACATTGCTGCACTGTATAAAACATCTCCAAATATTGTCACTTGGAAAACCCAATGTGAACATTCTGTCTATCCCAAACCCCAAATTTTCTCATGTTATCATTTATCTTTCGCGGGTATTAGATCAAGCCTTGTAAGTTGTAATGAAAAGTTTGATAAAAATAGAAAATTGTAGGGAAGGAGGAGTCGTCAGATAAAAAAGAGTTCAAAATATATTGTATGCATCTTGTAATTTGTTTTATATTTTTTTTTATCAGGTTTATTGTTGACATCATTTGCCCCTTTCCACCAAATACACCTAGTCCGGGATCCAGACCGTTGGATTTTGATCCAACGGCTACAGTTATTATAACTTTTAAAGGGTCCTTCTATTTGTAGCCCCTTCGGTTTGTAGTCGTTGGATCAAAATTCAACGGCCCGGATCCCGGATTCGTTTCCTTGATCTGCTGCCAGCTCCCTTCCTCATGCTTTCCCAAATTTTTTTCCAAGTTTTATCTGTGAATTATACGGGTTTTTAAGTTTGGGAAAGGGGGGAAAGCTCTCTGTTCCTAGTTCTCATGTAGCTAGATCCTACGGTACCACAATAATCCTTGGTTAGAATGCGATTCCAACTCAACACCTTTCCTTTTGAGATTTTTGAGAAGAGTTGCTCTTTGGAGAGCATAGTATGATGAAGTTGTAAGCTGTGTTTGGGCTGGAGGGGGGAGTTATTGTCTATCGTTGGTAGAATCAGTCGGGGCCGTTATACCGATACACTAGACTCGTTACAGTTGTTAGATATTGGTCTGCATGGATCGTCCGCACCTTTGGTCCGACAAGAGAAACCCTCGTACCTGTACTGCACATAATCAATCCTCCCTTATTCCTAATTTTTCCCAAACCCAACTAAAAACCACTCCCAGTCGACTCCCTTTCTAGGCATTTTCTTTACATTTGATTTTCCAATTCCTCAACCCCAAACCCAAACTTCCTAATCAAGCAGCTCAAAGCAAATACCCATTACGGACCCTTGTTACCATAACATTTATGATCCACCAAATCGAAATCAAAGGCCGCTCAAGAAAAAAGATCAAGGACCCACTTCCCAGCTCACACTCTTTTACCAAATTACCATCACCTTTTGCCACTCAAAGCTCACACCAAAGTAGCACCCATCTCAAGAAGCAATTCATGATGCCTGCTCGTGCTCATGGGGTCACCTTCTCTCTCCTCCTACTGCTGTCCTTTTTGGCTACTGCTATCTCCACCACTGAATCAGCAAGCTTAGACCTTGTGAGTGTTTTGCTTCAAAGACCCCAACTTTCCTTTCAATTTCATAGATCCCTGTACTTTTTTTGTCAAACGGGTCATGATTTTTTTTTCTGGGTTTTCTGTGATTTGAAGTGCTTGTTTGTTGTTTTGAACTTTTAAGGCCAATGGGTCTGCAGCTGTGGGGCCACTGGTGCCACTGATCGGAGCTGAAAAGATGAAGACTTTGGTGATGAATGAGACCAGGAGGAAGTTGGGGAGCTTTCAGATTTGTGCATTGTGTACTTGTTGTGGAGGTGCCAAAGGTCTTTGCTTGCCTTCTCCTTGTTGCTATGCCATCAATTGCAACATTCCAAACAGGCCTTTCGGTTTCTGTTCTTTCACACCTAAGACCTGTAATTGCTTTGGATGCCATATCTAACTCTTCCTCTCTATATTTTATAATTTTATAATTAAAAATTGTTTAATTAGGGGTAATGCTTGATTTTGTTGGGAGTCTGGATGGGAAAAAGAATATCTGTTCTTGATTTGTTTGCTTAGAAGTTATGAAATTTATTTATATTTCCAGGTTAGCTTATTTCTATATCTAGTGGGATAATTTTCCATATTTTGGTGGAATTGGCATAGTTGTGAGGCATTTTAGGGAACATTGTCCTTGTTAATGGAGCTATTTGGGGTTCTTAATGATATTTTATTGACTTTCCAAAACAATATATTAATGTAAGTGCTCAGTAGAGCTGCTGTCTGTGACACTCTTATGACAAGGATTAAGATTCAACTCCCATGTTCTATTATTTTAGTCTTGTGTTGATATTTTATTAATTTGTGATGAGTTTTTAGTTCATGTTTTCAAATGAAAGTGGATGCTACTAATGTTTTCTTTTGCTGCTTCCTTTACTAGTTTTCCACTTGATGTTTACAGAATGTGAAGGTTTCATTTCATCTGCTATAAATTGTTGCTTTCTGTCTGTAATTTCAAGCATTTCATTGGGTATATAGATACTTTAGAGAGAGAGAGAGAGAGAGAGAGAGAGAGTTCTCCTTGCTTAACTATGGCTTCTGAGTTACCTGAAACAGATGGGAGATTGGATATTGTTGGTGGTGGAGATTGGAGAATTAAGTAGATTAGATTTTAGTCGAACAGTAGGTGGGATGAGTTTGTGTGATGAATATTAATGCATGTAGCTGGAAGTTGGGTTGGCTGGGGGTGTGGAAGGCAATTAAGCCATAGCCACTAAGTTTTGCTTCCATGATGGTGATATGGTGTAGTCATACAATTCTTGGATGGATATTAATTGCATAACTTTTATTGGTTGGAATTTTCTGGTTTTTTCTATATCCTCGTGTAGATTGTTGCGTGAAATGCAAGTCTCAATGCACCAAAAGTTTGTGTTTAGGGTTTTTAGCTTACATCTAACGGGGATGCTACTGTAATGGTATTTTAAGTTGAACACGCACTGTCATGCGAGAATGTTAAAACGTATGACAGTACGTAATTGGCTTGTGGAATCAAAGAGTCCTTTGAGGCATGGGCAGTGAGCCACATGATCTCTGATTTTGGTGTCTTGATGAGAGTGTTTTGGGGGAATAAAGGGAATCTCATTGACTTTGTTTGTGAATATTGTGATGACTTAGTTATATGGGGCGACATGCCAACAACCCATGTGCTGCTCAAAGTGCTTGCCCTTGTTTTCCTCTCAACTTCCCTCCCTTGCTGGTCACTGGTCTAACTTAGGTCATGTTTCATTTATTCGTTTGACGAGTGAACTAAATGAGCGTTAGTCCAGTTGGTTAGGGCAGTATGACAAGTTGATCGAGTAGACTCAAAACTAGCTAGTGGTACTAGTAGTAGTGTAACTCGTGACAGAAGGAACCTTCAACTAAACCACAAGCCATCTATAGGCAACGTTGTAAGCTCAATCGGACAGCGCTAGTACGACAAGATCATCAGCATCAAGAGAAGGAGTTGTCATCAATATACAGGAGGCCGGCCGGCCAAGCCTCTCTCAAGTATAAAGTGGAGTTGATTTCTACATTCACATTTACATTTCAACTGTGTTAAAAAAAATAAAAAAAAAGAGGCAAAATTCAGGGGACCTAAAACCCTGCCTTGGATAATGATCCTCCAAATTTTACACCAACTTCTGAGCTCTGAGCCTCCTCCAAATAAAGGACGATGGACGACGATATTCATATACAGGATAGGAGCGCTCAAGCACTAACCAATTACTGGCTACCCGTAGGGATCGATCCAACATTTATCATTCTTGATGGCTCGTTCCCATTTCCTTCTGAACACTTTCATCTCGTTGTACGATTCCCGCCTCACCTGCAACATTAACAACATGAAGAAACGAAAACTGATTAATCAATCCAATGAAGACTACATGTTAAATACAATATTATCGCGTCAACCGTCAAGAGACTTGCATCAACTCTGTGGCCCTTTCTTGTAGATTTTGATGATGGTGACGATTCCTGCCAACGAATTTTATCTTTCGTCACGTGATCACTTTGATCATCTGAAGGTCCTCCCAGTGTAGGGCGGCCGTAATGGATTATGTACTCGGCATCCACAACCCCAACTTTTTTAGTTCGATCTCCCTATTACAACATGACATATACATTCAAAATCAAACACAGAAAGAATGCAGGTCTGTTTGTTCCTCAAACAGCAGAAGATCGAGGCAAAGGAAATCGTTTCCTTGCTAGAAAGGCAAGTATAAGAACTTGCCTGTGCACAATAGCCAATCTGTGTATCTAGTCCCCAAGCATGAATCAAGTCATTCTGCAATTAACATAATCAAACCGGTGCAATTTAAGCCTCCATTGTCTCTACTCTCACGCGAAGAGAAAAAAACAGCTATTTGAGTTGAGTTCCAGGAGGCAGGACAATAGAAATAAGTTAACACACCCACCTGGATCATATACCATACGCAGCGCCAGGCAGCCCGAGAGAAAACAGGAGCCATCACTTCTATCCACCTGCAGAAAATGCATTGCATTGTTTTAGTGGGTGACTTCTGCAACTACAATACTAAATTACTAATGGAATTGTCTTGAGCAATCAAATGGAAACACAGTTTTTACCCGGTGCAAGGAGGAGCTGTACTGCTTTCATCACAACCTTTCCCATTGTTGCTTGACTTGTAAGTCCTTCTGCAGATACAACATGAACTATATCAAGTTGTTTGAAATTAAGGGTTCTTGAAATTAACTCATATGTTACCATTCAACAATATGTCCCAAGGGAGTTCATCATTTAGCAGTTATAAGTGACCTGTGTGCTACCGATCCTCTCATACGCACAGTAATTTGATGATGCACCTCTGATTTGGAATAATCCAATGCAGGTTGTGATATCTCAAGCCCTTCCTTTTGAACAATGGATACGTACCTAACAGTAGTGTTAAATAACAAGTTGACAAAATGGGATTAGGAACCAGTAAGCAGCTTCCAAGTTTTAATGTCGGTATAATGTACAAGGTTGAGAAAAGAGATGCAGCCGGCCAACAATGTATATACCGTTGGGGGTGGAAATTGTCAACTCCGAGGTCCTCATCCCAGAGGAAAATGTAACTATATTCGGCAACTATGTCAGGATGCAAGAAGCGCTTCGCAAACCACCTAGGCATCAACCAGAAAATCACATTTCAATACTGCAGCTTTGACTTAACTGGTTTCAGGCATTCAAAGATAAAGAGTAAGACCAATTAGTTACCATTTAGTTTGATTGACTGCAGATACATGAATGACTTGGTCACTCCATTGAAATTCCTTCCACTGATCGACAATGCCATCATAATGGAAGAGCATCACAACGAAACCACTTGACAGAAACTGAAACACGGTGAGCGAAAAGCAATTACTTGTAAAGAGCTATGAACAATGAAAAAGAAATATCAGCAGCACTTAATTTGGACTACCTTTGTCAGCATTGTTTTATAGGACATACCTTTTTGACCATTTTACAAACAAGATCTTTTTGCTTTATCCCAACGGCCATGGCAAACAAACTAGATGAAGAATTTGCATCTTTCTTCTCCAACAATTTAAACGAAGGTTTCTGGGCAAAGAGTGTAACAATAAAAAATTTAGATAAGCCTGCAGCACTGTCAATTGGAGCAGCAGGATGCAAAGTTACACAATCACCAGGTGAATGATTCAGGAGCTTCCGTTTCCAAAAACCTTACCTTTTTAGCATGCCACAACGGCTGCATTTCCAGATTAGAAGTATTGGCAACAATACCTCGAGGAAGTGGCTCACTTCCGTAAGGCCGATTTTGATTCTAAAACAGATACAAGAAATTATAAGTAATAAAGCACAACAGCTCCTTTGATAGGAAAGATGAATGGTATGGAACCTGAATGATAAACAAACCTTGCATTTGTATTTTAGAGTTTGCAAATTGTTTGTGACTTTCCAAAATGACGATGAATCCTGTGCAGTAGGACGCGAAATAGTAGCGATTATGTCAACACCAACTCAACTTTCAATTCCAATGTTCAGGCCAGTAAAACTGATCATTTATAAGCTTAGACATAATACAGATTGGATTCGGGACTAAAAGTTGGTATGCATATACGCATACATACATACCTCTTTGTAATCTGATGATGATATGTATACACTCACTATGAGAAATAATATACACAGCAGACAAGCTGCCGGGATAATACTACAAAAACATGATTTTCCGCTTCTCGAATCTGCACGAAAAGTAACCTGACAAGAGAAGGCAACGAAAAAGTGGAGAAAACATGTCAAAACATTTTAGATGGCTGGAAAAAGAGGTAAAAAATACAATTCGTAACCAAGTTATCTGCAAAGAAATTAGAACAAATGTCCTAATTACCTAATTATTGCTACTTTCTGACCGCTAATCATAAATTAAACTAATAATTACAAAATCCATTGAAGAAACAGAAGTGATGATCAATTATGTACAAGAAAGCATGCATCCTCATCATATTTCTTAACCAACCGCTATTCAATTATGCTCAGTAGCTCCAAATCCAATGGCCAGGAAAATATGTGCAGAGGAATTCGAACAAGGAACGATGAATTCGATATATCTAACAGCCCGAAAAATCCCAATACAAACAAGAAAAACATACAAGTATCTGTCTTTATAATCAATATGTTCATTACCAATTACAAATTACAATATCGGTATTAAGGGAGTGAAAGACGAACAGGTGATCCGTGCTTACAGAGGAGGACTTCATCTTCCATGCAACAACCTGATTTCTGTTCTTTCTTTTCGTCCTGGGGCTCTTGTTTTCGATGAAGAATTATGAATGCCCAGCTCCTTTTTCTGGGTTTTCTGTTCTTTCTCGTTTGTAGTTTTTACAGGGGACGGAAAATGTGTTGCAGAAAGCAGGATGATGGAGGAAGGAGTGATTGATCACAGGAACCCAGAAGAAACAAGAAGCAGAAGCATCAGCGTTCGGATTGGGATTGGGATTGGGATTGGGATTGGGTGATCACCATTCACCAATCATCACAATTCGTCAAACAAGGCACCATGAAAAGGAAGAGCCTTGACTCTCTAGACACAGAGAGAGCGACAGACGGAGGATGTTCGTTAACGGGCACCCGAATAACACGCGCAATATTATTTAAACAAAATTAAATAAATAATAGTGGGGAAGCACTACTCTCACGATCTTTGCTCGTCTCTTGGTGGAACTACAACCAGAATTATTATAGGCTTATTTGGGAAGGGCAACGTTAGGAATATTAAATTTGCAAACTAAATTATGTGTAATCGATAGAAATAAGTATGTTTATTAACGTCGAAGTAATAAATAAAGGGGGCTTTAATGAAAAGGGCTTGGATAAAGTTTAATTTAACAAAAAACTATCATATACTATTATTTAATCAAAAGGGCTTCCTATTTAATCATAAGGACAAAACTATTATATTTCAGGCCCACATCCATTAAACCCACATGGGATGAATTAAAAGCCCAAAACGAAATAAATTTTTTTTCCAGCCCCTGCCCCTAACAGAAATCCCATTCTGTCAGCCAATCTGTTAGAATTAAACTTCTTTTTATTTACAAGTATGCCACTACCTCATTAATCCACCAAACACAGATTAATAGGTTTGTTATTCAAAAGGTGCCTACCTCCTCCAACAAACGAGCTTCATCTCACCTTGCGATTTCTTCCGACTTCAGTCGGTTGAAATGAGATAGCTAACAAGCCGTCGAGAAGCAGCTTCTGGTCCTTAGCCTCGAGCTCGCCGACGTCGATCTCCATAGTGTCTCCGACGACGTTTCTGAAAATGCTGCGTCATACTCGGGCGTAGGTCGGGAGCTGTTCCAGCGCGGTCCACTGCAGCGCCTCCTCATCGTCCCCTCCCTCCCGAAATGACCCCGATCTCGCGAACACGTTCTCCGCCGAGTTCCACATCGGAAATCCCCAAAAGCTCTCCCTAGCCACAGAAAAATGCAGAGGCTTAGGCTGAAGAGGGAGATAAGAGAGAGAGAGAGAGAGAGAGAGAGAGAGAGAGAGGCTAATAAAAAGTGGAGTGTGAATGTGAGAATGACATGTTTGATTGCTAAAAGTGGTAGTTAGAGCTCTGCATTTAATTTATCTATCTAAATAAGTCTTGCTGTTTGTTGGCACGGATGGGGAGTGAGAGAGACAGAGACAGAGCTTCTACTACAACAACAACAACAACAACAAAGCCTTTTCCCACTAAGTGGGGTCGGCTATATGAATCCTAGAACGCCATTGCGCTCGGTTTTGTGTCATGTCCTCCGTTCGATCCAAGTACTCTAAGTCTTTTCTTAGAGTCTCTTCTAAAGTTTTCCTAGGTCTTCCTCTACCCCTTCGGCCCTGAACATCTGTCCCGTAGTCACATCTTCGAACCGGAGCGTCAGTCGGCCTTCTTTGCCCATGTCCAAATCACCGGAACCGATTTTCTCTCATCTTTCCTTCAATTTTCCCTTGAGCTTCAGTGGCCTACGACGGTCACATAACACGCCGGATGCACTCTTACACTTCATCCGTCCAGGTCGTATATTCTATGGTTGAGATCTCCATCTAATTCTCCGTTCTCTTGCAAGATAGATCCTAGGTAGCGAAAACGGTCGCTTTTTTGTGATCTTCGCTAGATTGCTCCGGTCATTAGTGTGGATAAGTATATAAATGGATAGAGATAGGAAAGCAAACACAAGATGTACGTGGTTCACCCAGATTGGCTACGTCCACGGAATAGAAGAGTTCTCATTAATTGTGAAGGGTTTACACAAGTACATAGGTTCAAGCTCTCCTTTAGTGAGTACAAGTGAATGATTTAGTACAAATGACATTAGGAAATATTGTGGGAGAATGATCTCGTAATCACGAAACCTCTAAGTATCGGAGTGTGGTGTCGTCTTGACTTGCCTTATCTGTCTCATAGGTAGATGTGGCATCTTCTCTGGAAGTACTCTTCCTCCATCCAGGGGTGGTATCTTTAACTGGTGGAGATGCACAAGGTAATGTATCAATTTCACTTGAAGCTTACTTGTAGTTTCAGGCTTGGTCAAGCGCGATACAAACCATGTAGTAGGAGTCCCCCAAGTCGCCGAGCTAGGGGGTCTGCTGAAAGAGGTGACAGACAAGGTAAGCAATCAGAGCTCCGACTGATTGTTCACCTTCTCCCCATCTTGCAGCAGCATGAAGGATAAAGAGAAGAAAAATGAGAAGAGATGATATGAGATACTTTTGCTTTTGAAGAAGTAACGTTCCACAGGCTTATTCTTGAACTGAGCTGGAGAGTTTTTTGGTTTCCTCCAGAGTATAAGGCCGACTGAAGAATTTGAGGGTCAAAACAAGTCCATCAAATCTAGAGTACGTTCGACCCTGCTGATATGGGATACTTTTGCTTTTGACAGAGTAATGGATGTATCGGCACGTGTGCTGTTACGCTTGTCTCCACATGCTTCCTTGTATCCTTCGCACTTGCCCTATCTGTTCCTCAAGCAGATGCGGAATCTTCCCTGGAAACATAAGATGTTGAAGATGAGTACTCGAGAGCAATGCCAGGTAAGTAATCAGGTAAGGGGTTCCAGGCAGTCAGTTCCTGGCTGGAAGCTTGATTCCAAGTGCTGACTGATTGCTCTCTTTCTCCTTGTCTTGCAGGTAAAAACAAGGCCAAAAGAAAAGACAGGGAAAAAGCATGATATGGGATACTCTTGCTTTTAACCCTGATGATATGAGATATTCTTGCTCTAGTATAGCTTGTTTTGCAGAGGTATTATCGGGGGGAAAGAAAGCTGAATATTTCGAAAGGCTTCGTTGGGAGTGCCCTCTCAGATATGATGAAGGGTTGAGCATTTTTGCAAGTCTGCCTGTCCGTTGGGGATGGAGGTCGACATATATAGGAGTCTCCCTAACAACAAGTAGTAATGCTATTCCTTTACCCTGCTTGGTCATAGCACAGTAGTGGGAGCTGCCAGTTTCACATGTTTTAACTCTGTCAGAGCACTTTGAAAAAGTGGTCTGTGGTATATGGCTCTCGAGATTCGGAGAACGATGCCTCTTCGATTTTTGAGAAAGCAATCATGCTGGGGGTCTGACTCTCAAGATTCGGAGAGCAGTGTCTCTTCGATTTTTGAGGAAGTAATCATGTTGGGAGTCTGGCTCTCGAGATTCGGAGGGCGGTGCCTCTTCGATTTTGGAGCAAGCAATCTTGTTGGGAGTGTTGTCTCGAATGTGAGTAAAGGTTGGGCATGTTTGCTAGTCTACCTTGCCACGAAGCACAAAGGTTGACACACAGGGACTTTCCAATTATCCAGCAATGGTACTGTTCCTTTACCCTCTCTTCGATTTTGAGAAAGTAGTCATGTTGGGAGTCTGGCTCTTTAGATTCAGAGGACGGTGCCTCTTCGATTTTGGAGCAAGCAATCTTGTTGGGAGTGTTTTCTCGAATGTGAGTAAAGGTTGGGCATGTTTGCTAGTCTACCTTGCCACGAAGCACAGAGGTTGACACACAGGGACTTTCCAATTATCCAGCAGTGGTACTGTTCCTTTACCCTTGTGGGTAATAATATGGTAACTAGACCTTCAAAATTTATGTGTCTAAACTTTGTTAGTGCTGTTTCTTTGCTATTCTTTTACCTTTCTTGGTCAGAGCGATGTAGTGGGAGCTGCAAGCTTCACGTGCTCAACTTTGGCAAAGTTATCTGTGGTACCCATGAGTTATTGTTGCGTGTGGGAAGTGAGTGATTGAACAGTAAGATTCATGTGCTTTCTACTTCACCAGAAGTCTTCGACAGAATGCCCATAATTTCTGCAAAGCTAAGTGTGTGTGACAGGTGCTGACAAGGCTAGAAAAGTAGGTGCCTCTTTGATTTCTGAGATCGGCCCTCGTGGTCTATGAGCAGCCCAGCTTTTGAGAAAGCGAGCGCCTCTTCGATTGATTCGGAGAACGATGCCTCATCGATTTTTGAGAAAGCAATCATGCTGGGGGTCTGGCTCTCGAGATTCGGGGAGCAGTGTCTCTTCGATTTTTGAGAAAGTAATCATGTTGGGAGTCTGGCTCTCGAGATTCGGAGAGCGGTGCCTCTTTGATTTTGGAGCAAGCAATCTTGTTGGGAGTGTTTTCTCGAATGTGAGTAAAGGTTGGGCATGTTTGCTAGTCTACCTTGCCACGAAGCACAGAGGTTGACACACAGGGACTTTCCAATTATCCAGCAATGGTACTGTTCCTTTACCCTCTCTTCGATTTTTAAGAAAATAGTCATGTTGGGAGTCTGGCTCTTTAGATTCGGAGGACGGTGCATCTTCGATTTTGGAGCAAGCAATCTTATTGGGAGTGTTTTCTCGAATGTGAGTAAAGGTTGGGCATGTTTGCTAGTCTACCTTGCCACGAAGCACAGAGGTTGACACACAGGGACTTTCCAATTATCCAGCAGTGGTACTGTTCCTTTACCCTTGTGGGTAATAATATGGTAGCTAGACCTTCAAAAATTTATGGGTCTAAACTTTGTTAGTGCTGTTTCTTTGCTATTCTTTTACCCTTCTTGGTCAGAGCGATGTAGTGGGAGCTGCAAGCTTCACGTGCTCAACTTTGGCAGAGAACTTTGGCAAAGTTATCTGTGGTACCCATGAGCTATTGTTGCGTGTGGGAAATGGGTGATTGAACAGTAAGATTCATGTGTTTTCTACTTCCTCAGAAGTCTTTGACAGAATGCCCATAATTTCCGCAAAGCTGAGTGTGCGTGTGACAGGTGCTGACAAGGTTGGAAAAGTAGGTGCTTCTTCGATTTCTGAGATCGGCCCTCGTGGTCTCTGGGGAGCCCAGCTTTTGAGAAAGCGAGCGCCTCTTCGATTTCTGAGATCGGCCTTCGTGGTCTTTGAGCAGCCCAACTTTTGAGAAAGCAAACACCTCTTCGATTTCTGAGATCAACCCTCGTGATCTCTAAGTAGCCCAACTTTTGAGAAAGCAAACGCCTCTTCGATTTCTGAGCAGGCGCCTCTTCGATTTCTGAAGCTCCGTCGAGTGCAGATTTTTATAGGGGCTATCATTAAGTTCCAAAGCACACTTGAATCTCCACCAGTAGAAGCTTCATTCTTGCACTTCTAAGATCTTGATTTGTCCGACCTCTTCTCT